GAAACATGGATTTATAGTTATGAGACCAAAACAAAGCAGCAATCGAGCATATGGGTCTTTCGAGATGAGCTGAAACTATCCAAAGTGGCGCGCGTGCAAAATGCCTCGAAGCGGATGATTGCTTCTTTTTTTTTAACAAAACTGGACACATGGCTACTGTTGCTTTGATGAATCGTTGTACTATGAACAGTGATTGGTACACGACTATTTGTTTGCCGGAAGCTATTGACAAACTCCGTAAAAATAACCGTAAACGTTGTATCATCTTGCACCACGATAATACCAGTTCTCACACGGCCAGACAGTCAAATGAATTTTTGAAGGTGAACAACGTTGACCTTATGAGCCATACCGCGTAAAGTCCCAACCTGGCGACCTTGCGACTTTTATTTATTTCCAAAAATTAAGAACCAGTCACGCAGTCAACGATTTTCATCCAATGAAGATCAGCGTCTTATCGAAAAGTAAGAAAAATATGTTTCAGAGATTGTAACGGAGGAGTGGCATAAATGTTTTCAAAATTGGTTCATTCGTATGAAAGAGTGCATTAGCGTTAACGGATTATATTTTGAGAAACAATAAATTCAGTTATAGTATTTTTTTCTTATTCATTCCGGAAACTTATAGTACGCACCACGTATCAACAACACACCGACAAAACTTTATGATTTACATACCACGTTAGATACTTAATAAATATAAGCTTGGCAATAAGAAATGACATTTTCGTGTGCGGTATTATTTAGTACTGTCCATTAACGGGTTAACTTATTTATAGTTCATTTGTATAGTTAGTAAAAATTGCAGTTAACATTTTGGTTATGATATTTGCTTTAAAATAACTACAGGTTATGAAGGTTCAAAATTTTCTGATACAATTGATTTGTTAAGTAGCCTTCTTAACTGCAACAAAACCGTGCGAAAATGTAGTGCATACTTGTTCAGTATATATGTGTCTATTACCTATACGTACCTATTTCACTATGTTACTACTATATTTTGTATTGCATATTTGTCCCACCTATAGTCATCGCCGACCTATACTTATTCGAACCTAGCCTACTGTTTGTAACTTCCTTCGTGCTCTGATTTGCCTTATGAGGCTAAATCTTTCCTTGTGTAAACAACATTCAAGCATTGATAACCAAATGTTTAATTTATAAGACATTTTTGCAAGCGCACCTCCCAACTGTGCCTGATGTTTTTCCATAATCATCATCGCCGTCACTTTGATTACATTGCCAATAGAAACGGCATCGAGTATATAACCAGAAAAATAGAGACGAAATAAGGGCCATCCATCCCTGGCAACTCATCAGGCAAATATGCCTTATTTCACTTTTAATATCAACTCTCGTTTGCGCTGAAATCACAAATTAGAAAGCTGAAATAGTACAACGCCAACAAATAACCTGTGTGTATGGCTCCGTATATTCCAAAAATATTCTGTATTTATTGTAATAAAGATAACATCTCTAACTATGGGGGCTCTTCCATTCGGTGGTGTGGGCAAAACACCAAAACATCTAATTACAAAACAAACGGAATCACATTTCATCGGTAATTAAATGTGTAATTTTTAAATTTTCGTTCATTATACCAAAACTCAAGTTAAACTGGTCGTATTGAAGTGAAACAATTGATGACATTCGTCAATTGTTTCGGATTCGGGCTGGCCAATCGGAGCGCAGTTGTCACCGTAATGATTCGGCAGAATAGTTTAAAAAAAATTAAATGACATTTCGTCTCTATTTCTGGTTATATACTCGATGAGAAACTGTTACATTCTGTTACAGTGCCGGCTTTACCTATGGTGCAAGGTGTGCGGCGCATACTGGCGAATGGGTCGAGCGTCGCGTCCCTTGCGACTCCTCGGGTCTGAGTTGCTCGCGGCGCTAGCAAAGTAAACAGGCCATTACTTCGCAACACCATTTGCACCCGAATTTCCGACAACTGGGAAAAACAGAACTATAAGTATTCCATTTTGATCTAGTGCCTATTAGAGTGCGCCAGGGTATTGATTGCACCTATTGTTGGGTAATTTTCCGTAAACATTTCGGAAAACTTGGAAAAATATAATTTCGAAGGTTAATATTATGTTGTACGATTAGAAATATCTTTTGAAGCTTTATTTAACGTGAATTATATAAAATAAACTTATACAGCTAAAAGCCACATAGAAAAGAGATTTAAAATTATTTCTCAACAGCGAAAAAATCTTTTTAATGGCTCCATAGTTTTGCTTCAGTAGCTTCAACTTTTAAAAGTCTTCTTCTTTTAGAAGAAGAAATATATTGCAAAAATATCCGGAAAAATATTTATTTTCCTAATAATGGATTTTTTTCAAAATGTATATTTTTCCATGACCCAACAGTGATTGCACCCGGGCGCTACATAGGCTAGCGCTGGTGCTAATCTGTTATGACGTTACTTATTGAGGTTATGAGGTTAGGTTATGGTGTACTATGAAAAGACATCGATATTGTAATTAGAAAATCCGTCACGTTACTTTAGCCTATAATAGTATAATTCCACGTCAATGTGGTTTACACAAGGAACCATCTTATATCTATAATCTTCACAAATTCATAATGTTATTGCGATGTTACTGTTCCTCCCATCACAAGTTATTCTATATGTTCTTTTATTTGAATAAAGTTTATTAACATTTTTATATTGTAATGATATTATAACGTCATCATTTTATAACAGTATTAGAATTTTAAAGAAATCCTGCTGAACAATATATACTTTAATTACCTTCTATACTATACTGTACTATACTATCTTGTAATATTAATTTTCCTGTTATTGTTTATTTTAATTAACATCTTTAGATGGACTCTGTGCTCGAATGGCTTACACACCAATTTTCAGGGTGACGCCATCTTTGAGGTCTCGGGTCCGATCTCCGGCCGGGTCAGTGTAGAAAACTAACTTTTCTATGTTGTCTCGGGTCTGGGTGTTTATAGTACCGTCGTTGTTTCCGATTTCCATAACACAAGTGCTTTAGCTACTTACTTTGGGATCAGAACAATGTTTGTGATATTGTCTAATATTTATTTATTTAATATTTATCTTGTACCAGCCTAATGTTGTACTATTAAAAAACTGTGTATCTTAATTGTAGAAAAACTCCTAAGAGTGGCTACACACGGCTATACAAACGCTTGGGATTTATAGGCGATTGCATCGATGCAATCGCCTATGCGCGGTTGAATTGCTTTTGCATCGTTGCTTAAAATCGCGCATGCGTGTCTAAAGTAGACGATTACCGACTGCATCGCTACTGCATCATGTTTGCATCGCTGCTAAAAGTCGCGGTGTGTAACCGCTCTAACATCCATGGTTTAAGGAACACGACAAATCACGCAAATAGATCTTAATGAAATTAAAATTGGGTATTTTTACAATCTGAAGGAACAGTGACATCACAATAACAACATAACATTGATATCCTACAACTGATCGAAACCTTCTACGGCGAAGTTATTACAACTGAAATTGAAGTGAACGTTATACAAGGGGTATGGATTCTGCGTACATTTCTAAATGTAGAGTAATTGAAACAGGTGTAAACACCTGGTTAGATTTTATATTGTTTAATTTTATTGACATTATCAAAACTTATAGTCAGACGATAAGTAACATGCCAATTTATTATGTCTTTGAAAATTAAGGGGTATGCATATGGCAACACAGATGCTCATAACCTGTATGTAATTTACTGTGATCTAGAAATGCTATAGAATCGACATTAAAATCGTAACTTACTCATTAATTGTGTATAGGCATTTGAGTAATAGAATCGTTGCCATGTAGAAGTCAATGTGTAAATTACAATTTGATTAAAGTATCAATCGAAACTTAACTTTGCTAATAAAGTAAATTAAAAATCAAATAAATATTATGTGAGCCATTTTATGACTGATATATAGCTACAGATTATACATACTTCTAATATACATAGGTACTAGATACGTATAAAAACTAAAATCTGTTAATTTGGGACACTTCTATTAACACTTTTTATTTGGGTTTTTTGCCCCAAAGTATTATATAAACACTATGAGTTTTTAAAATATTTTGAGGAAGCTGCTAGCTTAGCTATATGCTACCTTACAAAATCTACCTTATTTTATTTTTCCATAGACTTCTCGTCTTCTTCGTCTACATATTTTTGACTAGATTACAAAATGACTAGATTTCACTCATCCATCTTTTGATTTACAATGACTAGATTTATGGGTTACACTTAAAACACACTATTTACTATACCTAGATATACTATTTAAAGCGAAGTTATTCGGATTCTATCAAAACATTTTTTTAATACAAAAACTTACAAAGACGTATAAAAGCTTGAATTTATTATATGTTTAAACATAGGTACATTGTAATACATTTTTTATTACTTTTTTTTAATTTAGGGTCTGTCAGTATTAAAAAACTGTAAATATCACGATCGTTAAGTACGCCACAATTGTTTTGTGAAAGAATAAAAAAAAATACCTAAAATAATTTTACGTATAAAGCCTATTATTTCAATTATTATCATAATTTATATTAAACCGAGGTTGAAACAAACACTCATGCTTAAATCTATGACGTCAACCAAAATTTATCTTCGACACCTACGAATTGTAATAATGTGTAAGTATGTACATGGTAGGTACCTATTTAAAAATTTAGTAATTCGCATATTCATTTATTCTTTGTCCAAATTTCTAACTATTAGGGGTAGGTAAAATATCTAACTCCGAACTTTCAATTACTGAAACGTCACCATTCTTATTTCACCAAAAATTACCTTAAATCATTAAAATTACCGATGGCACACAAGCACGGGCATCAAGATACGAATTCTATACTAACTACAGGTGATAGCTATCCTACGAGAGTTCAGGCTAACACACACTGTCTCAAAACTTGAGCATGATGGTATCGTCCTGGAGTATTTTCCCACAGTCATTTTGATACGCGCTGGGCGCGGCCGCGGCTCAGGTACACAAACCAGAATTATCCACTAAAGATCTCGCGAGTACATCAGCCGCCGCTATATCCGTCACTTTGCCTTCGAAGTGTCCTCGTACGTGGAACATGAATTCAGCTTTACCAGCGAACTCTTGTCTGCACATCAAACATAGATGGTGTGCATGCGTATGTTGTCGTTCTGGTGCGTAATGTGTATGTCCATGGGTAAAGTACGCGCCTCCTCCTCCACCCCCTCCTTCGTTAACCACAGTTGCAGTGGAGACGGAAGCAGTGGCTATGCCATGACCATTGAGGATTTGTTGGTTCTGGTTGTGATGATGCAAAAGCTGCAATTTTTCTTGATTCGATAGATGGACCTTTTCTTGTTGCTGGGAAAAGATAAAAAATATTGTTAAATACTTGAATTAACAGGCGACTTGGTTAGACTAAATAAAGCAGTTCAAAATACAAAGTTATTAAAAGTATTATTCAAAGCAGGTAAAACAAGTTTATGGACGCAGACAGAAATTTGGGAACATTTGTTACATAAGCTGTCAGAAATATTATACGCCTACTTGATGTTGTTGCGTTTGCTGCATTTTATCCTGCAATAGCTTAGTGTCAGGAAGATGTGATTTTGCGTGAGCGCTCCACTCGTCTCTGGTCGCAAACAGTCTGCCGCACAGCTCACACGACCAGGAAACCACCATACCAGCAGTAGCTGCTGCAACTGCAGTTGCCGCACTTGTATGCACTAGATTCGTGTTCTGCAATAATTGGTTTATTATACATTTAGTGCGAAATTCATTGGAAAAGTGTATCGACAGGAAAATGAGTGATATTAAGTCGATGTTATGTTAAGTTATAATGGTGATACTACGTGCAGACGAAAGGTAGGTATGCTTTTATGCGAAGCAATTAGAATAGTAAACACTTTTGGTGAGGTTATGGATTTGAAATCTACAAATGACACAAAAGAAGGATGAGAGAATGCACTCTAATGAGAGAAGAAAAAACAGTTTTATTGTACTAAAAACAAATTTATAATGAAGGAGAAGTAAGTAGATAAGAAAAGTACCTACTATAAATAGTAAAAGACGTCCAGATTTTAAAAACGTAACAAAGACGATTAAAGAATTCTCCATCAAATCAATAACATTGAAGAAACCGTTGGAAGACACTGAAACACATTGTCTATATAGCATGCCAATCTACGGTACACATGCTCGAATTTTGTTGGGATTTACCGTAAAGGTGTGGCCGGGTACCTGGCAGACCTGGATCTGCTGCTGGTGAGTTTGTTGATGCTGCTGTTGCTGCTGCTGTTGTTGCTGCTGTTGTGCTGCTGCTGCAATCTCTGCCTGACTTGGTTTCGTGTCCTCTTGTTTTGTCAGTTGAGGTTTCACGTCGTCCAATTTTAGAGCTGTGCAGACAATCATTATATTTGTTGAAGTACTTGTTAGTTTATAAAACGGAAGTAATAATGATTGTTCTGGGATGTTTCGTGACAAAGTATTAATTTCTTGTTTGTTCGGAAATCTTACTGATTTTCATCCACTCTTACGGCTGTCTATAAGAAGCCTGTTTTGAATATCTATTGAGCTATTTGATGGCAATAAAACGCTTGATATAGCGAAGTCATCAGATCTGACATGGATGGAGTCAGCAAATTATTTTAGATCTAGAAAATTGAGTGAATATAGTTTGAACTTAGTAAATTCCTTTGGCACGGTACAACACCTATAGTCCAGAACTCACGTGGTATCGTAATCGTCCGTTTACCGAGTGGCGCGATGTTCGATGGCGTGATGTGCTTCAGCTTATTCATGTGTAGGACCAACTTGTCCCGTCGAGCGAACGCCTTATTGCATACTTCGCATACATAGGGCTTTTCTCCTGCAATAAATTGTATAATTGATTTATTGACAGTATTTGTTTGACGTACATGTCATCAGGCGTATCTCCCATTACAATAAAATTTAAAAACAAAACTTGGGATTAAATTAAATGCATAAAAATTGAGTCCCTATGTCAGGATGCCCAAGATACTGGCTGTGTTCTCCTTTTGTACAGCTATGATAATACGTCGAGCAAGGAATATTAAGTTGTAAACTCTTGAATACAGATGACTTACATCAAACCCATTTTGGAAATAATTACTGATACCATCCACACTTTTACATAGTTTGCTATTGCGTAACCCTAAAATGAAGTCCCATCGTTTGAAGATCCCTATTTGTAATAATCCCTAGAGGGCACTTGAGGGGATGCGAGATTAACAACCGTACTAAGCAAATATTTGAAGAGTTGTCGTGTACCGAAATGCACCAATATGTATACTGCAATACTATTGTATACGAAAATCGTGGTCTGAATTGTAACGATGAAATTATATAGGTTCCTAAATGTAAAAGAAAGATAGGCGAAGAAGTTTCCAGCCGGATCGAATACGAAGAACAGCTTATTGAATTATATACATTTTCGGTAGGTACTTTGTCCATAAATATGACCGAGGAAGTCAACGTTAAAATGAAACTAATGTCGATATGAGTAAGATACACAATGGTTGTAACTACATGGTAAAGTAGATAAGATACCCACCCGTGTGAATCCGCATGTGTATCGTTAGTTTATCTTTCCGTGCTAAACCTTTTCCGCACACTGTACACTCGAAAGCTTTGCTTCCTGAAACATAAAGAGAATATAAGTGTGTAATTCTATTATTTATATGTATCATTAATTGTCTGACTGCATGTATGGTAAAGCTACTAAAATGATCTGCAGTAAATTAATGATTTAGAGTTCAATTTAGGGTCGCACCCGTCATTCCTTCGCTGGTAGAGCTAGTAGGTTTTATAGCAGGATGTTTTCTGATGGAACTGCCTTGTAGTGCCTTCAACCGCGTTCCAGGATGCATCGATCCTCCTTCCGCGTACGGTTCCGTGAATGGTATGAGATTTGGCCGCGGAATGTTGTTCGTTACTTCTGGAGACCTGATGAGTAAATTTGCATAGGAGCACCAGTTATGATAGTCGATGTTTGTCAGCTGTGGTGTCGTTAGACGAGGGTAAACCTACTAGAAAGTTCGTTCCTTCAGAATGATAATAGGTATCATCCAAAACAAGTGACCCGTCTCTGTCCCTTTTTATTCTACCTCTTATGAATTGTACTTGAATGTTGGTATTTTTATTTTTTGGTATGATCTTAACCATTACGAGTTTCAATGTGTGTTTTATTACAAGTCAAATAAAGTAATTTAGATTTTGATTTCAGATTTTAAATTGCGGCCGTAAAAGCCGTATTTCGTAAGGTTACTTGTTTTTTCATAAAGATTATAACGGTAATTAAGATTATGAATAGCCTTGCCATTTATCATTTGTGATGTATAATTTTGGAACAAACGCATCATTCCAGTGAATCACAAATTAGGTTGATTATCTCAGTAGTCGTATATTTTAGTAGTCATAGAATTACCTACATACTGATTTTGGATAATGAATAAATGTATGTGATTTCCTTAGAGAAAACCCGTCACGTGAGACGTGGTTTGATGACGATATAGACGGTTTTATAAATGGGAATTTGAATCTTTGTAAATAATATTTCACATAGTACTAGGGTAACAAATATCTATGCCTCTTTACGTATGGAAAACTTGTAGTTGACGGGAATTTAAATACCGAAGTACCTTTAAAACTAGTGGAGAATAAATAATTGTACGAACCAATTGCCAAGACTCTGTAGCACCCTCACTCCTCCTTCAAAGCCCATTCCTACGTCGTCGGGTACAGTGAACGTGCTGTCTGGACCGCCGGTGCTAGAGCTCACTTGAGGTACCTTTATCGGCGAATTGATGGTAGCGTAGTGGTGTTGAGTGGAACTAACAGTGGGGGGCGATGGATGACCTTGATGGGCGTTGGCAGTGTTTTGGGCTTGCTGTAAAATTTTATTTTTTTTGTAATCACCCCACCCAAGTAGCCCAAGTTCAAATACTTTCAATTTCTAATTCATGGAAAAGAAATCGATGCCTTTCATAAAGATGAACTTTATTTTTACGAAATCAATAAGTCGAATTCGTAAAAAATATGGGGAAAATCACAATGACGTTGTAAATTACGTCTAGTCATAAACATATGTAGCAAAAAGGATTTATCTACATTTTGAAACGGTTTCTTAAGGATGACTCAAATCATTGTGTTGATCATGTCGATTTATATGCGCTGATACATACTTGCATTTCCTGATGGTGTCTTGTCGCGTTATTTGTTTGTTGTTGTTGGTGTTGTTGTTGTTGCTGCTGCTGCTGCTGCTGCTGCTGTTGTTGCTGCTGTTGTTGTTGCTGCTGCTGTTGCTGTTGCTGTTGTTGCTGTTGCTGCTGTTGTTGCTGTTGCTGCTGCTGCTGTTGTTGCTGTTGTTGTTGCTGCTGCTGCTGTTGTTGTTGCTGTTGTTGTTGTTGCTGCTGCTGCTGTTGCTGTTGTTGCTGCTGCTGCTGCTGTTCTCTTCTTGCAGCTGCGGCGGCCTGAGCCATATGTTGTTGTACAGCTACATGTGCTTCTAAGTATGCTGTTTTTTGTGCTTCCGTCATCTTGTCCATGTTGACTGTTCCATCCTATCAAAGACATCGAAGATTTAGATTACACACATTTAAATCACTCAAGTAGTAAACTGTTGTTTGTGTATATCTTTACTATGGTCTAGATTATTTAAACACTATAATTAACATTGTTCATGACTGTTTAAAATAGACATGAATATTATTTTTCGTTTGAGAAACATTGTTTTTTATTTGCAAAGTCAATCCAATTCGCAACTTTTAAGAACATTCAGATTACGAGTTGTGACAAAACAAAATATTCAAATTTATATTTCGGTTAAGATTCTGCGAGCCTAAGTGTCAGGGTGGAATTATACCACCTTCAATGAGTGTCTTCGATGCGAGGGCCGGAGGGCGAGGGTGGCGTCCCCCAGTGCATCGCCCCCACGGAAAGTGAAACGACCCCGCCATTCGTTCCGGCACACGTTGGGACACCCTGTACTTAATTGCCTGAATTCGGTAAAGGGAGGGTTCAACGACCTGAGGGATCTGATTTTCTCGTAAATCATTATTCGGAGAGGTCATTGCCTTTCGACTATTAATAAATTTTTGTTTTTGATGAATCATCGAAGTTTTTACGTAGGCTTCTTGCAAATATATGTACAAATGGAATGTTATGCTCACGAGGAACTTGTTGTTTACTTGGTTACCGTGTCTTAAGAATGAATATTTCGATCAATAATTAGAAAATCATTTTTAACAGCATCGTCCTCATTATTCAAGAACAAGGTGACGGCTGACGCAACCCCCTTTCTTTTCCAATTTCTTTCCTGTACGTCTGGCGTATCCTGGGCTACAATCGGCGAGTACTTCGATTACGAGTACGTCGATTGATGAATCCTTTGGCCACGTAGAAGAAGTAGTACAAGCTAAATAAGTAGTTTTTCAAAAAAATAATAAAAGATATTTTTTTGTATTTTATATTTATTTGCGTAATATTTGGGATGAATTAATTGTAATTTAAATTCGGACTCTACCTGTCGTCTATAAACAATGAAGCCCCTAAAAGATGTATAAACGCTTTGCGTTTATCATCCCATTGTTTGGAGAAGCCCCTCAAGATAAGGACTAGGGACCAGGGACACAGCGATCGCATGGAGTAGGGAGGGACGTTATCACTCACGCACTGATTAAAAACAAACTGTGAGGGAGATAGCGAGGGTTAGATATTACGTGTTGTTCGCTAATAGGATTTGACTTTTGGACAACGAATTTGGAGAGATATCTACTGGTTACAAATACATTATTAGCAGACGACGAAATAAAACATGTTTTGAAGGCAATTGAAGATTTAGACGTAATATATAAGTCCGCATCTGCAAAATTACAACTTCAGGTTTTGAGATTCTACGCACGAAAACAGTGATAACTTTTTATGCTTCGGTAAGTAAATAGGTGAGTTATAAAATTTCACATCTACGTAATTTTGTTTCATGTAGTTCTTATTATTTTTATGGCTTCATAATGATAAAAGCACTTTTGACGGGCGCTCATATCAGGCTTTATTTTTTTTTTCAATGTTTCCTCGAATAGTTAAAAGAAATTTAATGGAAAGTTCTTCTCATTCTTTGAAAAATATTATGCAATACTCTTTTAAATTTATTATCGCTGGTTGTTCGGTAATGGTGCGAAAAGTTCCCCAGACCATTTACAAGTGGTCGTCTAAATTTATTTCGATATTCCAAAAGAGTTAAAAACTCCGCATTTCGACTGTAAGGAAATAAGGACAACTTTTGTGCCATTATATATATTTCTTTTTAGTGATTAATGTTAATAAATCGAATTTAAACAAAAAGAAAGCACCAATTTTTTACTACTGTTTATAATTTTTTTTAATCGGCCATTTCGAAAACAGTCCACTAAAAACTTGCGCTTTGGCCGCAGTCTTTGCTGAGTTTGGCCTGTAATAACACTTTTAGTCTTAATCCTAATATTGTACACGTACACATTTACTGTGCTAAATAAATTGCTTTTCTTTATTTCTTTCGATCGTTATACTATTATTTTAATTTTCAGGTTTTGCATTAAAATTGTCAACTTACAACTTGGAGCATATAAGACTTGCAATGCTCCAAGTTATACAAAGTAGAGATCCTAAGATTTATTTAGAGCGAGCATGCGCGAAGCTCTGACTATACGTGTAAAAGTAATGATGTACTTACTTCAAGGTCCCAAAGTTGGTTATAATATGAATTTAATCTCATTTCTAAATAGCTTTACATCCAACTCAAACTGAACTTCTAAACTTCACTTGTTTTCAACAAATATCCAAAGACACACGAACATTTTGTGTGGATTAAAAGAAGTATATCGCAAATTAGGCATAAACTAAATACATTACTAAGCAACTTCAAAACAAACGATTCTCAAAACTAAAGTACTAGGCGCACATAAAACTAATACTGTTACGTGTCAAATGTCTAGACTAGGGGTGTGCGGGTGTCCGCTCGTCAAGCTTACGAGACGTCTTGAGGCGGTCGCGTTCTGTGCACTAAGTGCAAGCCTCCCCGCTTGCATCGATCTGCTTCCCTCTACGCACCGAGAGAAAAAATTTGAGACGAAAATTTACGTGTAAAAAGTTGGAGGTTAGGGGAGGATGAGGGAGAAAGTAAGGAGAAAAGGGAACCTTATTTTTTGCAATCACGTTATACTTGAAATTGAATTTTCATTTCTCGTTAAATTTACTCATTGCCGTTCAAAGCCCTAAAGCTACATATGACATAACACGAAATAAATGTATACTTTTTAGCACAGGGCACAACCCTATTTTATTACATTTTGTGTTTGAACGTTGTTTACATTGCTGGTTTAACGCCCGCTCGAACTTCAACGCTGCACAACTATAGCAATGGAATTCGTAGCATTTCGAACTATTCTAACATGAAACCCACTGTTTCACACAATATAATATTATTCGTTGTTGATACAAACCTTTTTCATAGTTAATATACTTTGAAAAAGGTTTGCAACGCATAAATTAACGTGGTTGAAAATGGTTAAATATGTAATTACGTAACATACTGCGGTCGGTATTTAAGATTATACATTTACGAATATCCGTGCATAATGTATTTAGTAGTATATACACACGCAGATAGCAAGTGTTAATGCAAAAATAAATAATGAACTTCTCCCAATCTAAATCTATCGCATATGACAACTAACATCAATGATCTTTTTATCATTGATTAACATAGTATTATCTCAAAAATTGCGTTATATATGTATGTTATTAGTGAACAATTTAATTTCAAAGTGACAGAAGAAGAAATTAAATCATATACGAATGACATACATACCTAGGTATAATGCAGTTTTTGAGACAAAATATAATATAACGAAATTTTTTAGATAATACTGTAGTTGTCATGTATGATATAGGTTTTCTGTTCTCCGGCAATTTAATTTTTTTCATCTTTTCGCATATTTCACACAAAGAAATAGCTTTTAATAAAAATTCGAATCGAATGGTTACTTATGTACATTTGATTCTAAATACTGAAAAGTTTACCGTTGAAGCTAAATTGAATTGCGCTGAAGTTCTCTAAGTTGAATAAATGTAACACGAACGTACCCATAAAACGAAATGAAAGCATTCGCTCAATTAAATTCTGTCGATTGTTCGAACTTTTCCATTCAAATCACCCAATATGTGCCTTATTTCCTGTTAATAGCATTAAGTGTCTTTAGTAGTGAACTGTTAGTGTATTGTTAAGAATGAAATAAAAAGTCATATTAGGAATATAATAGATATGTTCCATTGTCCTACTTAGTTCAATGTGAGTTTAAAAAATAGGTGGGGTGTACTTTTCTTCGTATTTATCATGATTTTCAGGGCCTTTCCCACCGAATGGGGAAGCTTTGAGGCTCAGTGCATGTGGTTTGCCGGGCCCGGCCCCCGCGGGGGGAGGCCGTAGTAGGAATATCCTTCACCTCCCTAGGTCAGGGTTAACTGTGCCCCCGGGCCCGTGGCATCAGCCACCTTCGACCTTGGCTGCATATTCACATTGCTCTACATATGATTTAAAAATAAATAAATGCTTTTTAAATATTAGAGTCGTAGGTTCTTTGTTTTGTTGTCTCATTTGCGATTTACATGAGTTCCGTTTGGGATTCTAGGGCCCTAACAACAACCTTCTGTAAATTATTCAAGATATCTTTCAAAACCTGAAAAATGTACTATGTACTAGTTTTTGACTTAATCGTATTAAACTCGAGTGATCTCGCGAATAATCAATTTAATTTGCATACTGTCTCTAGGAGATTTCCATATAGGCAAATTAAGCCCCCGTCATAAAAACAAAACGTTCTTGGACATGCGTAGCCAATACCTCCGTCTGCATTACTCAATTCCAGCCTTCGAACTGTCGCGTTAGAGTTGATAATTCATTACAGTGAAGTCAATTGGAAGATACAGCGTTACACGTTTGATATTAAGTCTTTAAACGCGGTGTTTGGGTTCAGAATTCTATGTGTTGGACGCGGTTCCAGGGCGAATGTTGTTAAAGAATAGAGAGAATTGTTTGGTTAAGGGTAAGGTCGAGATTCGGGTGTGCGTTGTGTGGGAGGTGGGAGGCAGTGGGTCGATAGTCGGCGAGGCGCTTGGATCGATCGAGGAGGGGCCCTGCCCCCGGCGGCCGGGCTGCATCTCCCCCCGCATGCCTTCACTCGTATTCGACAATACGATTGTCTTGTTTCGTGTCGACATCAATAGCAATGACTAATGACTCCTTGCCGGGTAAGTCGGCTCGTTTATTTCGAATCGCCATCGAAGACAAATGTCCTAAATTGTATTCGCAAGTGGTTTTGCGAATTGTGTACAACTAAACTATACCCCCGGGCACAATGGCGTATTTTCGGACAAAGAGAATCGCTACATCTAACTTCGTGCTATGAATTTCTGAAAGGTTATCTATACAACGAAAACAACTTCACAATTTGCGAGCTCAAACTATATATTATAATTCCTATAGATAAATGTAGATTATAATATAAATACCGAACAAAAAGTGAGTAGACTATCAATGGAGGGCATATATTATGTGAAAATAGTTGAATTAGAACACCCATGCAATTTTATTTCTTCTATTATTTTATCTATATATAGCTATTTTATCTCACTTAATTTAGATAAGTCAGATAAAAAAGCTTCGTTTATGAAAGAGTAAAGCTATAAAAGAGTTCGTCCTGGGAAGTACTTGCCATCATACCTTTTCCGCCGCCAATAGTATTGTGTTCCTGTTTTGAAGGGAAAGGGTAAACTTACAGGCACATGGGACTTATCAATACTATGTCTCAGGGTGACAGGTACAGTGGCAGTGCCCCTCGGATCTTTTGAAGCCCTGAGTAGCACTGCAAATGTTCGTCCCGTTACTTCTTAGGATAAATAATTATAACTTTTAAAAAACATCCGACCACAAAAATTTGTGGAATTAACTATTTGTCAAGTTTTATTGAAATCGTGGGTGAAATTAAATAATTCATCTCCTTAATGTGCTACCCTTAGAAGTGGAATATTTTTCTTCAAATTAGAATGGGACCGCTACTCAGGGGGTCTACTCTCGATCTCCATCCGACATCCGTCCGAAACAATTACTGTCAATTAAGTAATATTTGAGAAAATTAAAAGACAAGTATCCAGTATGAAGCTTCATTCGCATCACGCGTCTTTTCATTTGGTCAAGTATTGCTTATTTGGCAGTAATTGTTTCGGACGGAGATCGAGAGTAGACCCCCTGGTCGAACCTCTTCCTCTTTTTTAAGTCGGTTAAAAAATACAGTCGAATTCGAAACAAACATACTTTCAAACTTATTAACATATCGTTTTACTTATAAAATTTAAGGAAACTTCTTAGATGAGTTAATAATCTTTTTAAATAAGTTAGTTTTCAAGGGAATCTTTCCATTCCCCGTTCTTGAGATATATCGGGAGAAACAGCCTTGTAAAAGTTGAATAGAAAGATCGTTCGCTTTGATTGGTTGCTAATAGAAAACGGGTTTGGAAAGGTTACCAAATTTTGTATTGTACTGTGCTAGTGTTCTTCTCTATAGGCATTTACGCGCCGAAAATATTATAGGACTTAAATAATAATGTTAACAATTCTATTATTAAATTCTTTGTAGAGTCAGTTTAGTATCTCAAAATAGGTTTTTAAGTAGTGATGATGTAGGTGCTGCCTTCGGTTTTAGGAAAAATAATGAATAAAATTTATACTTTTAGATCTTGTATATCAAAGCATTATTTGAGTTTAGTTTAAGATTGTTCAGCTGTAAAGGTACAAGACTTGGGGTAGGGGAATTCCTCCCTAGGTGGCGAATCTAAGTACGAGTTTTGTCTATTCGTATTTTTATTGTTATTTTTCAAACTATCGACTGTTTATGTGTGTATCACTGTTTTTGCATAGAACATCGACCTGTACATAGTTACGATAGTCATATAAACAAAAAATATCAAAATTTAAAAATATTTGAAAAAAAAATACGCGATTTGGATGCGAAGAAAATATAGTTTTATATCCAAAAAATTATTAAGTAACTAATTTTATGTTGGACAGAAAACGTTGGATGTACTGAAATTCAATAATAATATATCTAGGGTTAATTGACTAAAGCACATAAGTCAAAAACAACATTATTATTTTAAGTCAATCATCATCGACGGACTTAAGTCAAATTCATTAGCATAGAGATTAGGTTAGGTTAGGTTAGGTTAATTAATTAGGTTTTCGCAATTGTTACACATGGGAAATGAAACTATTATTTCAAATCTAAATCCCTTATATTTGTTTCTTGAAACAAACAAACCTTTCGAACATGTAAAGTGCCCGGAACGTTGGTTTGTTTGAAAGAACAAATATATGCGATGCCAATAAAATAGTTTCATTCCAAATTAATTGATGTGAACTAAATTCTAGTGGCTTTTTTTCAATCTTATCCATTCTCTTCACATATTCCGATATTATAATAACATGAAAAAACAAACTTTATTTATTAAAAAATGAAATGAAAATTTTTGTTACTTATGTACTTTAATCTGACAACCCTAGATACATACCTATATAAATACTTATAAATAGATAAATTCAGATGTCCGTCGATAATTTGAATTTCATATATACAAACTTGAAAGTTAATGGTGGACGTGACAATCCGCATGCTCTCCGCGTAGTTCCGAAGCACGGAGTCGGTGTTAAGGCAGCTCTGTCGCCATTCGTAAAGCTGCTCGAGTCGTGTGATACAGCGCTCGCAGATCTTCTTCGGCAGGAAGTCGTCTTTGGAAATCTGCTGGAGAATATGGAGAATTTTTAGTTAGATGAGAATGGAACTATTCAGAATAACGAGTGATAATGGACAGAAACGAATCGCTTTGCGCTCTAGACGAACAGAGTTAATTTTTTAGACTTTTTCTCGATTAAAACAAAAAGGTTCTGTATCACCATTTACATAAATTATTACGCATTGACTTAATATGATTTTATTTTTTAGTAGCAGTAGAACTCCTTGTGAAAGAGTTCGTCCAGGGAAGTACTGCCTTATCTATTTCTGCCGCCATGCAGTAATGTGAGCATGGCTGCGTTCCGGTTTACCGTTCCGGTAAGGGTGAAAGTAGAGGCACACGGGACTTGTCAACTTATGTCTCAGGGTGACAGGCGCAGTGGCAGTGATCATAGGACCTATGATCATGACCGATTTAAAGCTCTAAATGGCACTGCAACAGTTATGGATTTCTTTTTTTATGCGCACATGCTCATAGTCCCGCCTAGGGAAAGTCTGTATCGCGGGTGTCATGGACACACACATAGACAACCGCAAATTACACCCAAACTCACGAGATAATTAAATGTAGGTTATACAAATATTTCTCTCGGCACGGGCATCGAACCCGGGACCTCTGCGTGGCAGTCCAGCATGGGAACGGTTCGGCCACAGAGGCAGGATAGGCGTGTCGCTAGCCACCAGGCGCACGCCACTTGGTATTATAAAAAAATACTCTTCACGTATGAAACGAAAAAATCGTTGTTTAACCCGTTCAAAGATAGTAATGGAGTTAACAGTAAAATTAAATATCAGAATATGATAGTACTTGGGAAAGGTCCCAGAACGCTATTGGTGTTTTCTGTGACCTCTCAAAGGCATTTGATTGCGTTGATCATAATACTCTTATTAGGAAGCTGGAACATTACGGTGTAAATGGCAAGGCGTCGAAACTTGTCTCGTCATATCTCAACGGTAGAATTCAGAAAGTAGACATAAATGGAGTAACTTCTTTGGGTTCTCCAGTAAAAATGGGTGTTCCGCAGGGCTCAATACTTGGACCTTTCTTATTTCTGATTTATATTAATGATCTGCCATTCTTTGTTAAGGACCATTGCGAAATAGTGTTGTTTGCTGATGACACATCCTTGATTTTTAAAACAGACAGACATGACATTAACCATGACCGTATTAATGATACCCTCTCTAAGGTAGTTTATTGGTTTAATGCTAATAATTTATTGCTTAATGCCAAGAAGACAAAATGTGTTAAATTTGAATTACCTAACGTAAAATCGACTAGTCCAAGCATAGAAATAAACGGAGAAAAGTTAGACCTTGTTAATAAAGCAGTCTTCTTGGGAGTGACCTTAGATAGTAAACTTCAGTGGTTTCCACATATATCGTCCCTGGCCAGCAGATTAAGCTCCGCTGCATATGCAGTCCGCAGAATACGTGAGCTTACCGATGTTAGTACTGCTAGACTAGTTTACTTTAGTTACTTCCATAGTATAATGTCCTACGGGATTCTCATGTGGGGTAAAGCGGCAAACATTCAAACCAAATTTGTATAGCAAAAACGAGCGATTCGTTCTGTGTACCGTCTAGGCTCTCGGGTATCTCTCAGAGAAAAGTTTAAGGAGACTGGTATCATGACTGTGGCATCGCAGTACATTTACTCAAATATTTTATATGCCCGTAAAAATATACATAATTTCAATAAGAAAGAAGATATCCATAATATTAACCTTAGAGCTAAGTCCAAACTCATGATACCACGATTTCGTTTAACCAAGGTAAACAACTCTTTTATGGGGAACTGTATACGTTTTTACAATAAGATTCCGGAGCATATATTAAGTTTATCATTTCCTAAGTTTAAAAACTACATTAAAAATATTTTGATCGAAAAATCATATTACAAAATTGAAGACTACGTGTTAGATAAAGATGTATGGAAAGACGACATGGCTCCAGAATCCACACAAATTTGATTCAAAGTGTATTCCATAGCATTTAAGTTTATTTGAAAGGAGCAATCCCTAGAGTTTCTTGCTCGTTCTTCTCAGGGAGGTCAGCGTAGTGAACGAGCAGTAGCTTAAATGTGACGTTTTCAAGTGTAAATTTATTTTACCTATGGAATAAATAATCTTTGACTTTGACTTTGACTTTGACGAGGTACGCTGTTTCACTATATGGATATTAAAAAACCACCTTCATGTTTTACAGTGTGGTTTCCAAGTGCTTTCTGTGTTCTTGCCACCTATTACTTTTCCATAGAGAAGCATCAATAGCGTACTTGCAAAATTCATTGATCTACATATAGTACGCTTAACAGTTTATATTGAATCAATAATAAGCACTACGGAAAGGTAAGTATTGCCATTTTTGTGTGCAGTGTTATGTAAGTACTGTCCATGAAAATCTAAATAAATACACTATTTTATGCGCAAAAAGGTGTATTTTCAATAGTGACTTTGTTAAAAATGTTAGAATAAAATATCTAATATTTTATTCTTCTATATTTAATTGTCTAATACTTATGTTGAGTGTGTGCGTTATTGTTATTAAAAATACTGGTGAAATTACCGGCACATGGGACTTGTCAACTTATGTCTCAAGGTGAAGGGCGCAGTGGCAGTGCCCATCAGATCTTTGCGTTTTAAAAGCTCTGAGTGGCACTGCAATTGTTACCGACAGGCGTGTAGCTTACTATCAGACGCACGACTTGTTCGTTACGACACTTGATATTATAAAAAAATGTTTAATAAATGGTTTTTTATTATTATTATGATACTGGGTGTTTTTAATTGTGTTATTTAGCTAGTTTTGTGCCAAGCTTTACAAATTTCCTGTCTGGCACGTCTTTGTCATCGTATTCTCAAGTCATCTAACCTGTCCATTGTTTTGGCTTAATGGAGCCGTCGCCAAAATATTGCAAAAGCAATTTAAGTATACTTAGATATGTATTTTCTTAGGAAATGACCTATTTTTCCGGATTTAAATCCGGAAAAATAGTTTCATTTCCTATGTGTAACAATCGCGAAAACCTCGAGTTCTACGATATCTATTTTCTGTTTACAAATATGTACACTTAAAAGAATGTCGTTCCACACAGCGTTACAATTTAGCCCAATTATTTATTATTTGATATATAGGTATTCCAAATAATTTTTGTTTGCAAGTAAAATCAAGTTCCGAGAATAACTTTGCGTTCGGAATGGAAATTGGAAATGGATAATATAGTTTCCTTGAAAAGAATACTTATTACCCCTTATAAAATGCAGTAACACGAATATGCTTAGCTTAAAATGCTTAAAATAATGTTAATATAATTGTCAATAGTATACATATTTTACTTATAGCATATTTTGAAATTTATACTCAGAATTCAAGATATACTACAATATAAGTGCAAAATATGCTGTTTGACCACCACTTTGAACGTAATTGTGTTTGATTATAAGTCCGTTTGGTTTCGTATTATTTTTTTAAATTTTACAGTAATAAAATAACTTCACATAAAGAAAAAATCACCAAGACTTCGTTGTATGGTTTTAAACCTGTGCCTTTTCCTTAGCGAAGAATTCAAAAAACAACAACAAAATGTGTAACAAAATGGCGGAGCTACTTATTCGTACTTATGCAAACCGATGAATTCGAATCTATTGAAGACCTTGAAAAGACATTGTAATACAAAACCTACCACCAGAACCAAAGAACTTGATATGAGATTGTCGTTAAATTAGTGTTAAATGTTAAAAACATTTAAAAAACGTATTATTATTATTATAGTATTTTTTATGTCCATACAATTCCACAAATATCACATTATCGAATACTCATGTGTATGTTCAATGTTCAGTACTCGTTGTTGTACACGGTAAATATTACCGAACAACGTGATTACGTATCAATATTACGTAACAAACTTGTTAGTTAAATGTACAAGGCTTAATTAGGAAAAGCATATTGAGTTCCGAATCAATACGTCCCTAATCTGATGCCAAAGCTTTATCGTGCAAATGAAACCATTCGAGTATTAATTCGTACAAACTACAATAGTACAAAGGTATCAAACATGGGGATTGAAATGTCACGTGGCGACCATTAGCGACGCACTTACTTTTGGAGATGGGTTTTGTGACTCAATTGTGTATGTACATCGTATGAGTTTACATGAATGACATGATGAAGTTTGAATGATGGAATGACGTGAAGAATTTGGTTTGGTCGGCTTTAGGACCGTCACTGAATAACAAAAATGTGTGATCAGATTTCAGTTGGCGATAGCACGTAACACACAACTGTATGCAAAAAAATAAAAATAAAAAGTTGATCCTTATGGGCAACTACACTGTCACAATAGGTTTGTTTTGGTAACAAATACAAAATTGCGCGCATTTTGTATTTGTTACTAAAAAGGATACAATGAAAAGAAAAAAATAATATGCCCTCTGAGCTTTCATTTCTATAAATTGATTGAGTAGACGTTTACAAAATTATATTAATTAAAAAAAGTAACGTCATGTCGATCACATGTTTGACTAATAAAAAAAAACTTCACCTAGTCATTCAAAGAGTGAGTCAGATATGCAGTGTTCGAATCGCCCTTAATGCGGTGAGATTCCGTACGCCTAGCACTCGTAGATTATTTTCTAATCGCAATACTTGCAATATTTCATCATAAATTGCCCAAGTAACTTCAGGGAAGGTGGTATTTCATTTGTTTTTTAATTGCGAGTGTATACCTTTCAAAATATATAGAACAATTATATTTTATAATTTGTAACATAAATAAAAAATGATTAATGAAAGTTCCATGTAGTATTTTGGTAAGTCTACATTATAAATAATAGGCAAATAACAAGTCGACACCGATCGACACCAATAAAAAATACTTATTGCGTCTACTAACGCACCCAAGTTTATCAACTCTTAACATCTTTATTCAACTTTTTCGACAGAAGATTAAGGCAATGATAATTTTATACAAAACGACGGCTTAATATCCGTTCGTCAACCATAATGTCGTCCGTAAAGAACACAATGAAAGTACTTTATTATTACGAGGGTCTAAAAACGCTGCGTATCAGAGATACCGTGAAAAGTTTTTCGAAAGAAAAGCAGAAAGGCGAGCTATTTAAAGAACACACCAAAGGAAATGTACTGGTTGGGAAGTCAAAATGTGAACTCAACAGGTATCGTGAGACCCGATTGTCGGTCGCGTTCTAGTGTGGAGGACGGCTTGTGTGTTTTGTTCGTAGCACCGCGTATGGTCGCAGAGCGCTTGCGTCTACGGCCGAGCTACGTCTACGGTACGCCGTAACGGCCTCGTAGAGATTATTTTGCAATTTTCCCCCTTGCGATAGTGTTTAGCTTATTATATAGGGCTTTTGTTTGTGGTTTAGTTTTAGACGTGTAACTTCAAGATAATAATATTGCATTGGAAAAGAGTTGGAAATTCGGAGTATCATATGAACAAGAAAATGACAAAGCTCAACAGCTTCTCAATAGAAGCTGTTCGTGAAATTAAAGGTAGTTACCATAGTAGGCATGCAGGTCCTGAGCTTGAAGAGTATCTGCCTCTGCTCGGACTCCTTGTCGAAGATGTGCAGGCGAGGTCCGCTCTTGAGTGAGCAGAGGCGGCAAAGGTCGGTGAAAGCCGTGAAGTTGAGGTCCTCGGGCTCGGTCATCGCGAAGCACCTGATGAGGAGGTCGAGGAGGCACGAGTTGTCCATGTGTACGGCGGTCTGGGAGGGTGTCGGGTCAACGCATGTCGCGGGTGCAGGCAGGGAGGCGTCGCGCCGCCGCTGCGTCCGGGAGGCACTGTGCCGGTGCGGCCGCCACCCCGCCACCATGCCCCCCCCGTACCTCCCGCGCACGCATCGCGTCCCCTACTTCGGGGCCGGGGGTGCAGGGGGGCGCAGGGCGCAGCCGGAAAACGCGTAGTTTTCCCACTTAATGCCGTCTGCTATTGCTCTGTCAATATGCGATTGATTTGCGAATTTATCCGGATTGAATGGCCATGATGATTCGTTTAGCGCATTGTTTTGCTAAATATAATTATATTTAGCAATACAATTATATAAAATATATTACCTGTTGACAAGTGGACTTTGAAATTAAATTTCAATAGCTAATAAGTCCATATTGTAACACGTTTAATACCGAAGAGTTTTTAATTGTCTACACCTATAGTCATATAACGTAGTGACGACGACTCGTTGACACATCTAAATCTATGGTTTATATTAAAATTTGTCACATTGTGTTTCATAATAAACAATTTTGCATAAAATCTAAGAAAGCTAATTAATAAATAAATAAATAATTAATTGCTGGGACAAGCAGTATGGAATTTTGTTTTCAAAACATAAAGTATTTAACTCAAACACATGGCCTCTCCCAAGCTTCCACTGACTCGGATGCTGAGTACCTCGGGTACTCCGAGAGAACTCTAGCCATCATTAAACCTGAGGCTTATGAGGATGCCGAGGCTATAGAGAATCATATTATAAATAACGGATTCCAAATACTAGCTGTGAGTGACTATTATAGAATACTAAACTGTGTTTAGCGTGGTCATAGGTCAATGAGCGTGGTAATGACCAAGTACAATATTAACTATAAAGGATTTTAAGTAGCAGTGGAGTTACTTGTGAAAGAGTTCATCCAGGGACTACTGCCAGCAAGCAGTAATGTCAGCATTACTGTGTTCCGGTTTTGAAGGGCAAGGGTGCTGGTGAAATTACAGGCATATGAGACTTGTCAACTTTTGTCTCGGGTGACGGGTGCAGTGGCAGAGCCCCTCAGATCTTTGCGAATTAAAACTCTGAGTGGCACTTGAACTATCATGGACAGGCGTGTAGCTTACCATCAGGCGTACGACTTGTCCGTCCCGTCACTTGATATTATAAAAAAAAGGAAATCCATAAAATGTAAAAAGTTAATTATTCTTTTAATGAACAAAACACGTCCCAATACTAATTCGCGATAATATTGTTTTCACTCGCTATAACATTCACACTGATTATTACTTATCTTGATTCTGTTTATACTACTCTACTACGCTATTCGTGTAGTCGCTAATATGGCCACCCAAAATAACTGTAGGTGTTGTATTGATAAAACTAGGTGATAGGCAAGCAGCGTGTTCTGTTTATTGAAATCTATTGATCTACGTGTGAACCGTGGCGATTATGGCTTTTTGCGAGACGCGTTCAGCTGTGAACTTTTTGAAGTTTGTTTAGGAGGTGGAAACATTTATGAAAATGTAATTTATGTTAAGAATATTTTTATATGAAAAATAGTGACAAACATAACTTTAATACAAGGAATAAAAATAAATTAACTATTCTTGACAGTCGCCTTCACAAAGTCACAAATTCATTTAAGGGGCAATGTATACGCTTTTATAGTGAGATTCCGGTTGATATTCAAAATTTGCCTTTACGTGGTTTACAAATATATTGAGACAAAATCTTTATATTAAAGGTTATTTTATAATGCAACTTCTACGCACATGGATGATTAAAATCCGTGGTCGTGATCCGTTTAGTTTCTGCAGGTATTCTCAATCTAAGATGTTTGAAATAAGTATTGTAAATGATAAATGTATTCAAATGCATATTTGCAAAGAGCAACCCCTACAGTTTCTTGCTCATTCTTCACAGGGGAATCTGCCTTACGAATGAGCAGTAGAGGTTTAATCAATATGACGATTTCAAGTGTAATTTGATTACCTATGAAATAAAGATGATTTTGAATTTTTAAATTTTAAAGCGTTGTAGAGTCGTCATTGTTAACTATTATAATAATTTACAGTGAGAGATGTATTGTATAAGTAGGTGTAAAGTTTTAAGCAAATAAATACATAAAACTTAGTACCCCTTTTAACCGACTTCAAAAAAAGGAGGTGGTTCTCGATTGGACTGTATGTTCTTTTTTTGTATGTATGTTACGCGATAACTCCGGTATTTGTGAACCGATTGTCATGAATCTTTTTTTTGTTGGAAAGAGGGTGCCTTCATAGTGGTCCCATTTCATTTTAAAAAAATCATCCGCCTCTAAGGGTGGCTGATCACGCATGAACATTCATTTTTACAAATAGCGCCTAAATTTAACTTAAGGAGCAATTATTTGAATGGTTGGTTTTGTTATTCTCCAATTCAAGGCGTTTTTCTCTCAATATACTTTGAGTAGTGAGAACCGATTTTTATTATCTCCTGTGGCAAGTCCTGTGTAGTGGCGAACTAGGGGATATTTCAATAAAACTTGGCAAATAGATGAATTCCACGTACTTTTGAGGTCGGTTTTTTTAGTACTCTGTACTGATATTATATAGAGTTATGTAGTTGCGAGAGGTCCGACATTTATAGCATTTATAGTATTTAATCCGCCAGACCAGCCCCACATCTTTCTACATTAGTTTTGATTATAGTGACCATCTCTATCGACCTTTAGGGTATACAGGCATAGCAGGGATTATCTAAGTCAGGTCCTAAGCCTAGATCAGCCCGTTTGTACGGGCTTCATCCGGTTCTCTGTAAAGCTTGTGCCTTTGGTGAGCCGCCCCAGGTACATATACAGTACCCTCCCTATTTTTCAGATAGGTGCCGGTGTTGTAGGCACACTCACTTTCCGTTCCGCATTGCACAACTAGCGGTTGCCACCGCTAAACCATCGACTCTGACTCCACTACCAAATCTCCTCATTGGTGGCGGAGCTGTAAGGCACGCTCACTTCCCAACGCCGAAAAACGTTGTCTTTCCAATCCCCAATGACTTAAGCGGCTGGAGGGAACGGAGGATATCTAGCTTATCTTCTACTAGCTCTCCGGGTTAGTGCCGGAGATGCCAGTCGCAGTGTCCTTCGACAATGTCCGGACATAGCTTCCACCTTAAATGGCGACTCACGTGTCCCGCGCGTCTCCTGGCTTCAGGCTCTCAACTAGATCGCTAATAAGACGCGCTAGCAGCGCACGAGACAGCTTCACCGGCCACACACCACCGGGGCAGACAAAACATGTCTGTCTCCGTAACCTCAAACCCCAGTCCGGGTCCACCAGAGACGCCCGCGAAGACGTGTCCCTGCTGCTAGACCAGTATTTTGAGGCACGGTACGGTCGTGATTCAATAGTATGTATGTAGTATATAGCGTGCCGTACACTTGTTTTCTTTGTGATCTGGAGTGATAGGAGGAACAAGTCATATGCCTGGTGGTAAGCGACACGCCTATACTTGACGGTTGCAATGCCACTCTGAGGTATAAATCGCAAAGATCTGATGGGCACTACAGTGGTAACTCTGAGACATAAGTTGACAAGTCCCATGTGCCTGTAATTTCATCACACCTTTAACCCTTCAAAACCCGATACATTACTGCTAGAAGGCAGAAACAGGTAAGGTGGCAGTACTTCGCTGGACGAACAGAACCACAAACAGAATAATACTTTCTTATTTTATATAAATAAATTACATATGAAATAAACATTTCACAGCAACCAAGATATTCGGTCAGATAAATGTATAAAACTTACATTTTTTTATCGAGTTCTTAGGTTTTGGCGATTGTTATACATAGGAAATGAAACTATTTTTCCGGATTTAAATCGCGTCAAATTAAATTTAAATATTTGTTTTTTTCAACAAACCAGCGTGTCGAGCTCTTTACAGGTCCCACGGTCATGGTTGACTGTCAACCATGTTCATAAGACCTGTAAAGGTCTGTAGCATTTAAATCCGGAAAAACAGTTTCATTTCCTATCTGTTTTTTTGTAAAGTTTCTCACTATATAGTAAAACTGTTGTTGTTTGCTGTAGCTAAAAATATACTTGAAGATTTTATGAATTCTGAATAAAGTCCATATTAAAAGGGGGTGTCTCAGGGGGTCTACGCAAAACAGTAAAAATTTGCATGTGGTCTACGAGATAAATAGTTTGGGAGCCTCTGGTTCAATCCCTTTCCTTACAAACCACCTGTCTAGTAGTGGGACATATATAGATTAAAACAGGGTTGTAAAAGTTGTAAGTAGTATATCTATTAACGTCTTTAGTCTGTTTTCGATGATTAAAATTTATTATGCTATATTCAGTACTTACTTAAGTTTCAGTAGTAAATACGAAAGACTTTACGACAATGATAGCCGTAAAGACAACTTGATGGCAACTTTATCGATAGCGTCACGGTTTTATTGCCTAGAATAATGGGAACGTACTTAGATATTTTTCATATAATCTTGTGTAGTACGAACAGCCTTCGATGTATTTTACTTTTTTAACCGATTTCGAAAAAAGGAGGAGGTTCTCATTTCGATTGTATATATTTTTTATATATATATTACGTGACAATCATTTGTGATCCGATTTTGATGATTCTTTTCTGTTCGAAAGAGGGTACCTCAGATGTGGTTCCATTTAAATTTGAAGAAAGTATTCCACCTCTAAGGGTGATAAACTAGGGGATGAATGACTTTTTGGGTCGGTTTTTTGTACTCTGTACTGAGATTGTGTAAGAAAGGATATATACATTTTAAATTTATGACTTGTACATTAATTGCATTGTAAGTAAAAGATTCAATACCGAAAATGTAATTCGTATTATTGTTATGATTTTCATATGATAAAAGCACTTTCGGCGTATGATCACGTGGCTTTATTATACCAAGGGTACGAAATCAAATATGGTATTTGTAATATGGCTCTAAATGCGCCTCTGTGTCTGAGTCATAAAGCGCAAATGACGCTCGCGTGCTACTATGTTTTCCACTAATAGCTATCGGGATTCCCTACTTTGTTGTTCTTACTCACCCTCTGATTTGTTCTCTAATTTGTTGCCGAAGTACGTATCAGTTTCACTTTATTGATATTTGAAAAGCTAACCTGCAGTCTGTAGTAGATTAAAGTTATGTGTGTCATAAGTAGCAAGTAAGTAGTGAATAGTTACTACAAATAAAGTTTTTTGATTAAAAATCAATATAAAATCAAATATTACTATGTATTTTACATCTGGGTAGTATTCTAGGCCCACTGTTGTTCATACTCTTTATTACCGATTTTACATTGTGCATCGCACCGAGTGATACAAATGGATTCAAGTGTGCTTCAAGTAAATCTCGTAGTGAATTGAATAAGGCAAAATGTATGCAAATTGTATTTGCCGCAATCGCAACCTAGTAACTTGAAACAGTGAAGAAGAATTGCTGTGATCTGAAAACATTTTTCTTACTAGAATTAATCACAAAAAAGCGGCTTATCGTGCATATTATGCGTACATGATCTTTAATTATGCGATAGGGGAACACTGCTCTGGGGGAACACTGCTTCAAGGCATATTTTGCTACTACATAATTAGAATAAAAAAAGTTAGGTTGCACGTGTATAGTATGGGTCAGCTAGAGATTTACAAACCTTACTTTCTCTACAACCAAACATTAGTATTTTGTTAAAGAATACTTTGGTAACGTTAATTGAGTACAAATTAGATAAGATATTCGCATTGAGGATTTCAAAATATGGGCTTCAAGCCGTGTGTTGGGGATCAA